AGTACCATGGACTGCAAAAAGAACTAACAGATCTGTCCTGGAGGAAGTGCAGCCAGAATGCTCCTTGGAAGCAAGAATGGCCAGACTTGGTCTCACCTATTTTGGTCATGTTGTAAGAAGGGACCATTCCCTAGAGAAGGATGTCATGCTTGATAGGGTGGAGGGTCGACGAAAGAGGGGGAGGCCTTCAATGAAATGGATTGATATGGTCGCTACAATGATGGGCTCAAGTATAGTAGGGATTGTGGGGCTGGCGTGGGATCAGGCAGTGTTTCGTTCTGCTGTGCCTGGGCCCGCTATGAGTTGGAAACAACTCGACGGCACTTAACAACAACAACAACAACAACAACAATGCAGTCCTTAGAACAGTCAACCATATGCGATCAAAAGGGCAGCATTTGCCCAGGGATAAAGCTAATGCAGGAAGGAATAGAAAAGAAGAAGTATGAAGGGAAATGGTAAACATGGAAGAAGTGAGAAGAGTGTCGTTCCATTGTGAGGATTACAGTGAATGTCACCAAACAAAATGCATATAAATTGTTGAATGGAAACTCAATTTGCTCTGTAAACTTTCACCCCAATCACAATTAAAAGAAAATTTTAGTTGCCTACTGTGTGCCTGCTTTTTGATTAAGATATAATTTCTTGTTCCTAATATGCCAATGAAATAATTTCGTATGAGCAGATGGCCTTGGAAATCCAAGAAAGGGTCGCTATGAGTCGGGTCCGACTCCATGGCACATAACAACAACAACAGTTGATTCTGACTCATTGTAACCCCCTTTTGTTTCCAAGGCAGTAAACCTTTACGGAAGTAGATTGCCCAGTCTTCCTTCTGCAGAGAAGCTGGTGGGTTTGAACTGCCAGGCTTCTGGTTAGCAGTCAAGTGCCTTACACTACCAGAGCTCGTATAAATAGATATATAAAAATTTTTTGATGCATAATTATTCTCTTTGTGACTTTTTTCGCCCTTATTTAAGTATCTATTACACTTTCTGAGCATTCAATAAATTTAAACAGATTTAATATCATTAGAAAAATTGTGTTTGTAGAATTTAATGGGAAAACATTGTTACAAATTTGTAATTCTGACTCTAGAAATGAACTGATAGCTCTGAAGGCAGAAGTATTTTAAATATGTTGGATTAATCATCAACAGTAAGTGATTAGTATCAAAACAGAAAATCATCTATTGAAGATTAAGCTCATTCAAGATGTAAATAAAACTACAAGTTATTTGAATTAAATGTTTTTATTCAAAGATAAATATAAAAATGATGATGATCTTAAACTTGGTTTTCATTTCAGAGTATCTAACTGTGTTCTCTCAGATGATTGCATTCCACGATCCAGAGCTGAGTAATCATCTCAATGAGATTGGCTTTATTCCAGATGTAAGTATTTGGTGCATTAATAGAAATTTTTCCCATAAAAAACAAAATACAAAATTTAACAAATTGTAGCTTTTTGTTACAGAGTTTACATAGTTATTTTCCACACTCTTATTTTAAGTAAAGGGAAAATAATCATTTTTCTTAACATACTTGATATTATCAAACTGTTTTTGAAAAGCCAGGTAAGTAAGAGAGTAGAGCAAGATGGCAAAATAGTGGGTATGCCCATTTATTCTCCCAGCAAGTAACCCACTCAACAGATGAATAAAAACAAGAACAGGCTGAGATCTCAGAACTCCAGATGATAGCTGAAGGGTTGGATAGTCGAGGTGGTGCTGTGAGTGGGGAAGAGGAGAAACAAGGATGGCACAGAAGCTGGAAAAACCTACCCACTAACATCTGGAACACTTGCTGATCATAGCCATGTTGGGATAGGGCTGGGCAACAATCCCAGAAAGGAACACAGAGAGCTAATGGAGGAAGCTGTAGCCTGATTTTATAAAGTGGCACAGAATGGCCATGGGATTTCATGTGCTGCACAGTTGGGAAGAGGGGAAGGCAGACCATGGCACTGTGAGAGAGTGCTGTTCAATCTCATTGATGCCTGAGTCAGACAGGCACTAGGACTGGGAGGAATTGCAAGGGCAGCAGGGCAATGGGAATACTTTAGGGGATTGAAGAAAAACAGAGGCAAACAGCTGGCTCCCTGCCTACTGTTGGGCACTATGCTAGAGCCTAGGCAGGAGTGCCCATGAAGGAAAGACATAGAGAGTCCCTCACCTTCACCATAAGAAAGTCAAGCTCCATTGCTGTGTCAGCATCTGTGACCAGCTAAACCCCCCATTGTTTTGCATGTGTATTAAATTCCAGAGATGAAGCATCCAGACCTCTTGAATCAGCATTGAAAAAAACCTAAGGATAACAGTACCCTCTAGTAGTTCTCAGGCAGAGATACTTGGCTCACTGCCACAGGGTCATTTCTGACTCAAAGAGACCCTGTGGGGCTGAGTGGAGCACCCCTGTGGTGTTTTAAGGGCTATGAGTCTTTGCAGAGGCAGGCTGCCTCATCTTTGTCCCATGGTGCAGATGGCTGGTCCAGGCCCTATCCTTTTGGTTGGCAGCCAGGTGCTTGGCCACTGTGCCACCAGAGTGCTCAATCAGAACATTTTCCCACAAAAAACAGAAAACAAAATTTGAAGTGGGGAAAAATAAGAAGATACCAAAATGGCCCAAATTCAACAAAAAATAGTAAAAAACACAAAATCATAAAAAAAGACAGACCAATCAAAAACAAAACATGAAAAGGAAATTTTTCCTATGAATGCCAGACTAATCGGATGAATAGAAAAATTTTGGACTGTGGTACTAAATATATTTAAAGAAAGTAAAATGCACAGAGAAAACAAACTACTGGAGAACAAGAAGAAAAATAGCAGAACTAAAAGAAAGACTTAACAGGGTAATTGAAAACGATAAAATAAAAATCAAAAAACTGGAACTGAAGAATAAAGCAATTGAATTACAAAATGCAAGAGAAAAACTCAACAACAGAGTTGAACAGACAAAATATAGAATAAATTAACTACAGGACAAAGTAACTGAACTTATCAAGTCTTAAGAGAAATAAAAAGAACAAAGAAAATAAAACAAAGCCAAATGGTAATATGAGATTCAATTTAAAAATCTAACATTAGAATTATTGAAATCCCAGAGCACCATGCCAATAATAAAGAAATAGGAACAATTTTCCAAGAGATAATCAGAATTTCCCAGACCTGTACAGAAAACCAAGCCTGCAAATACAAGAAACTAGCTACACAAACTTCAATTAAAAGAAAGACAGAAGGATCAGCTCTGTGCCTTATCTTAATAAAATTGTTGAAAACTGAAGACAAGGAGAGAATTTTAAAAGCAGCAGCAGAAGAAAACAATGTAACATACCATGGGGCTTTCAAAAGAATCAGTGTGGATTTCTCCCAAGAAACTTTAGAGGCCAGAAGACAAAGAAGCAGCATACATAAAATACTGAATGAAATTCCCAACCAAGAGCTTTTTACCCAGCAAAGTTGTCATTCAAAAATAAGGGAGATAACAAGATGCCCAAACAAACAGAAGCTCTGGGATTTACCACTACTAGACCAGCTTTGGAAGCATAGTGGCTAAAGCACTTGACTGCTAACCAGAAGGCTGGCGGTTCAAACCCAGCAGCCGTTCCTTGGAAGGAAGGTTGGGCAATCCTATTTCCGTAGTGATACTGCCTCGGAAACCCAAGGAGGGGTCGCTATGAGTCGGGGGCTGACTCGACGGCACATAACAACAACAACAACAACAGACCAGCTTTGCCTGCATCACTCAAGAGAGTACTTCAAATGGAAAGGCAAAAGCATTAAATAAATGCAAGTATGTGTTGTGTAACATCCACGATATGTTCTGTGAAATAGGACGTTATGTGATTTGGATTTTGTGCAAACACTATATTAAAACTTTACGGGTGCCTGCTTCCACTTGTCTTTGTCACTGCTGCTTCTGCTACTGCTATTGGAGGAGGCCAGATAAATAGGTGCTGGCAGTGATGGCATATGAGAGAGTAGCAGGTAGTGGAGCAAGAGGAAGCAAGTCAGAATGGAGTGGAACATGCCCAACTTCACCCACTGTTCTGCCAGCCTGAACACCAACAGCAGCTTAGGAACAGCAAGCAGTTCCTGCCACCACCTACTCTCCAAACAAAGCACTAGAGCCCATGCCCAGAGCCATGTTCTCAGCCTCACCTGCCTGTATCCTACTGTGATCCAGTGCTGCAAGAGTCTGGTTTAGGACTCTTTAGAATGATATGGGGGCATAATAAACAAAAGGATAGCTGCTTTCCCTTAAAAAAAAAAAAAAAACTTACAGAACCACAGATGTAGATGACATTTTCCAAAAAGATATTAAATGATGCATATCTGTACTCAGACCAATACATGTGGGGGGTGGGAATTAAAAAATAAGAGAGAGCTCCAAAGAATGCAACAACACAAGCAATCACGAGGAGCAAGTATATGATATTTTCAGGGAATAAACTCAATAATTAAATCCCACAACCAATACCACATCAAGTTTGTAACAAATAAGTACAAAATAAACTTATTGAATATAGGTAATATATTGATGTTAATGGACACCAGCCAACAGAAATGAGGAAGGGAGGAGCATATCAGTAATACTTATTATGTTATAGTTGTATGTTAACTGCTTTTCGTATGTTAAACATTGTTGCAGTTGTAAATTGTATAGTGTAATATATGTGGTAATCACTAAGAACTTCAAGAAAAAATGCTCAGAAAAAAGTAGCCAAATACAAATAAAAATAGAAATAAGAATTTAAAAAAACAAAGATATAAAACACTTAAAAAAAATATAGAAAAGTGAATGAGGTAGACACTTCCTTTTCAGTAATAATGTTGAATGCAAATGGTCCAAATGCTCCATGGAAAAGGCAGAGAGTAACAGAATGGATTAAAAAAAAAACTATGACCCATCCTTTTGCTGTCTAAATGAACACCTTAAACATAAGGACACAAACAACCTGAAAATAAAAGGGTGGAAAAATATATTCCATGCAACCAGTAAACAAAAAAGAGCTAGAGTGATCATACTGGTATCAGATAAAATAGACATTAAAGCAAAATCTATTGCAAGAGGTTAAGCAGGACATTATGTAATATATATGAGTATTTAATGGACAGTGAATAAGGAAGACTGAAGAAGAGCCTATGCTTTTGAGTTGTGGTGCTGGCAAAGAATGCTGAAAGTAACATGGACTGCTAAAAGAACTAACAAATCTGTCCTGGAAGAGGTACAGCCAGAATGCTCCTTGAAAGCGAGAATGGGCAGACTTGGTCTCACCTTCTTTGTTCATGTTGTAGGAAGAGACCATTGCCTGGAGAAGGATATCAAGTGAATAAGGAAGACTGAAGAAGAGTCTATGCTTTTGAGTTGTGGTGCCGGCAAAGAATGCTGAAAGGAACACGGACTGCTAAAAGAACTAACAAATCTGTCCTGGAAGTACAGCCAGAATGCTCCTTGAAAGCGAGAATGGGCAGACTTGGTTTCACCTACTTTGTTCATGTTGCAAGAAGAGACCATTGCCTGGAGAAGGATATCATGCTCAGTAAAGTGGAGGGTCAATGGAAAAGGGGAAGGCCCATAACAACATGGACTGACACAGTGGCTGCAATGAAAGGCTTAGGTATGGCAAGGATCATGGAGTGGCACACGACCAGGCAGTGTTTTGTTCTGCTGTCAATATGAGTCAGAGATGACTCAGCAGCACCTAACAACAACAACATGCACATAACAGCGAGGAGTCCTGGTGGTGTGGTGGTTAAATTTTCAGATGCTTAACCAAAAGGTTAGCAGTTTGAACCCAACAGCAACTTTTAAAGAGAAAAGATGTAGCAGCCTGCTTCCATAAAAATACAGCCTTGAAAACTGTATGGGACAGTTCTACTCTGTCCTTTAGGGTTGCTATGACTCCAAATCAATTTGATAGCATTACAATTTCTTAAGGAGGCTTGGTGGCGCAATAAAGTACTTGGCTGCTAACTGAAAATTTGGTAGTTCCAGCCTACTAGATGCTTCATGGGAGAAAGATATGGCATTTTGATTCCATAGAGATTTACTGCCTTGGAAACCCTGTGGGGCCATTCCACTCTGTGATACAGGGTCACTGTAAGTCAGAATAGACTTGACAGCAATGAGTTTTGGGTTAACAGCAATGCTCCAAAATACATCAAACAAAAACTGGCCAATATGAAGGAGAAATAGACAACTCCACAATAATGGGAATGGACTTCAACACACCACGTTTAGCATTATAGACAAAACATCTAAAAAGATCATTAAGGGCATTGAGAACATAAATAAAACCATAAACCAATTGGACCTAATGAACATAAATAGAATACTCCATTCAGCAACAGAGCAATACACCTTCTTCTCCAGCACATATAGATTATTTT